TTTGTTTTGTCAAAATCGTTTATTTCTCAAAAATGTGTATAGAAAACTATTTTAGTATTTTAACAATAACTTTTTTTAAATGAATCACTATTTTGTTAACTCTAACCCTAATGCGGATGCTAATCTTAACGGTAATGAATCTTAAAGAATATTTGCCTACGCTACAAAGCCGGCTTACAGATGTTCTGCACAACTATTATGTAATTGTATTGCAGATTAAAATATCACCCGTTTCTCATAGATTACTCAGCACGCTGCTTTGGGGAAATTTGTGTGTCACCTGTTATCTCCATCCCTTCCTTATTATATAGATATAGATAGATTTAATTTTGGGCGAATCTATTTGTCGCCGGCGGTGATAGACCCAGGCCGCACGATTCCAAAACCTCAAAAATTTAAAATCAAAATAACTCAAAATTATATCTATGAAACTAACTTCAGTGTCTTAACAAAAAATATTCCTTGCATACTTTTACTATGTATTATGACCCTTTTTATCCTAAATATAGATAGCTCTAAATAAAACTCGGGTACTGTTATCGCCGGCGACAAGTGGATTAATTTTTTTAATTTTATATTATAAAAAATTAACAAATTTGAAAGAATTTTAATTAAAAAATTATTTAATTCTTAGTAAATTCATATTAGTTTTAAAATTTTATATATATTATTTTTAATGTATATAATATTATGACATACAAAAAATAATAACTTTATTATCACAACATTTATAATTTATTTGTATTAAAAATAAAAAATTTTATAAAAAAAATTTACAGTAAAATTTTAAACAAAACTTTAAACCTGTATTACATATCGCATACTGTATATACAAACAATATAAGATTTTTAGCATAATCTTTTTTATTGAAATATGACTACAACAATAAATTGTTTAATATTTTCAGTTTTTTCAATCCATGTTAATTTTGAATCTATCCTCAATAGGAATCAGACGCCTTTGTCGTATACCCTTCTTTTTCTTACTTATTTGTGTATAATACTCATGGGCTAAAGCATGATACTCTGGTGGATATGGCGATGGAATCTCACTTCTCCCAGGTCTCGAAATAGGATCGCGCAAAAATATAACAGAACATGCATTAAAATTGACCTCCAAATACTCTGGTATAAATAAAAAAGGTTGCATGTAAGGAATTGGTTTGAAAGTAAGACCATTCGGTGTCATAGGTTCAGTGAGGAGAATTATAGAAGATGGATCAACAGTGATAACATCTCCATCAGAAGCTAGGTGAGATGGTGCGCATATCTAAGAAATATATATGTGTATAAATAAATATCTACGATAATAAATGAAAAAAAGGTCATATTCAGGCATCCGCTTACCTTTTTTCCATTAACGGTAACTTTACCATGAACCAC